CACCCAGAAGTCTGTGGCTTGCTTAGTACCGCAACCCTCCATCTGACCAACACTGCCCAGCCTGGCCTGCTGTCCTCCCAGCCAGCTCACCACCTTCTGCTGGCCCCAACTGGGCAGCCATCACTGCCGTGGCTCCGGGACCCACCAGGCAGCCATGCAAACTGCACTGGAGCTCCCATACCCTCAGGGTAGCCACGTGTGCCATGCTGGAGCTCCTGGACCTGCTAGGCAACCATGCGCTGGGTGTCTCAGTCCCAACTCGGGCTTCCTGGAATCAGCCGCTGATCAGTTTCAGCAGCAGCTGACTTGGGGATGCCTGGGGTTCTTAAGTTGAATCTGTATGTAAGTCAGAACTGGCATCCAGATTCAGCCGCTGTTGAAACTGATCTGTACATACAGATTCAACTTAAGAACAAACCTACAGTCCCTATCTTGTACGTAACCCGGGGACTGCCTGTATACTATTACATAACTAGCACAGTCCCACTAGACCGGTCTAATATCAAGATGTACTTTTAATTGGTTATCATATGTATCCATTTAAATCAGTTCTTCTCAACTCCTTTTTTTAATTTAAGCAGTCAATAATTTTTTCCTCTTAAATTAATTTATTTTTATTTAACTACTTTACTACTGACTATTGCTATCTGTGCAGCACCCAAATACGGTAGATGCTTTTACAGATCAATTTTCAAAGGCCCTCCACATTTCTGTCTATGCAAGTTTTATTTTTTTAAACAGATTTTCTTTGAACTCAAATAATGGTATGAGAGCAGCATCATTTTCTGTGTGAAGTACATGAGAAATCTGATTTTTAATTTATTTGAAATCACTGGGTTTAATGTTACTTTAGTAATATAATTCTCAATTTTTTGTATTTTGCGCACCACATAATGACAGAGAAATCTCATGGATCACCTTCTCTGCCATCTCCTGGGCCCACCCTTCTGGCTTCTCACAGTATTTCATTTTGTAGACTAACAGAAGGAATCTTTGGTCACAGTTTGAGAACCACCGCTATATTGACCTTCCTTTGTATATTGTTTCAATGGTTAACTGTTGCTGCTAACAGTCTTCTTCTATTTTGTACCTTCCTCTTTATTTTTTAACATGATCCCCATTACCTTTATTGACAGCACACTGACCACTTGAAAAAATTCTAAGGTCTGGTCTACACTAGATAATTAAGTTGTTTTAACTGTGTTGTTCAGGAATGTGAAAAATTCACACTGCCCCTGTGTGGCACAGTTAAGCCAGTCCTAACTCCCAGTGTAGACAGTGCTAGGTTGATGGGAGATAATCCAGGCCTTCATCTTCACATATGTGACTGTCCAGAGTTGTGGGTTTTTTGTTTTTTAATCCACTTCTGGATTTAAAGAATTTTAGTAAATTAATTCTTCAGAGAGAGCAAACTACACATCCCTAGGGTTGCCAGGTGTCCGGTTTTAAACCAGACAGTCCGGTATTTGAGGGTTCCCTCTGGGAAACAAATTGAGAAAATACTGGACATATAAAATGTCCGATATTTTCTAATTAGGTACGTTTTATTATTATTAGGAGTATCAGAGCGTGTATGCCAGCCAGGCAGTACGCAGCTACGCAACAGGGAGGGGCCGGGGCGGGGCCGGAGTGGGAGGAAATCCCTGGGGCTGGACTTGTTCGTGCTTTGCCGAGACCATACCAGGATGGGTAGCAAAAAATACTGGACATATAAAATGTCCGATATTTTCTAATTAGGTACGTTTTATTATTATTAGGAGTATCAGAGCGTGTATGCCAGCCAGGCAGTACGCAGCTACGCAACAGGGAGGGGCCGGGGCGGGGCCGGAGTGGGAGGAAATCCCTGGGGCTGGACTTGTTCGTGCTTTGCCGAGACCATACCAGGATGGGTAGCAACCTGGGATCTGCATGTGCCCGGGTCAGTCCCGCTCCCTGCCAGCTGATTCTCTCCCCGCCAGTTCCCACCCCTCTGGCCAGCCCCGCTCCCCCCGACCCCTCCCGGCCAGCCCTGCTTCCTGCCAGCTGGTTCTCCTCCTCCTGATCTCCTCAGGCCAGCCCTGCTGCCCCCGGATCCCCCCCCCCACCCACCCTCCCCCCTC